AAACCCCATTTTCTGAGGAGAGATTCAAGCCTGCTGCAGAAATTTGCATAAGTAACGAAGAGCCCAATGTTAATCCCTGAAACAATAGGGAAACTGTCTCCGGGGTATGTCAGAGGTCTTCAAGGAAGCCCCTCCCATCACAGGCAAAGAGGCCTAGAAGAAAATGGTTTCCTGGGCCAGGCCCAGGGTCCCTTTGCTGTATGCAGCTTAGGGACTTGGTTCCCTGTGTCACAGCTGCTCCAGCCATGACTGAAAGGGGCCAACATGGGGCTCGGGCCATGACTTCAGAGGGTGCAAGCCCCAAGCCTTGGCAGCTTCCACGTGATGTCGAGCCTGCCAGTGCACCGAAGTAAAGAATTGGGGTGAGGGAACCTCTGCCAAGATTTCACAGGATGTATGAAAATGCCTGGATGTCAGGAAGAAGTCTGTTGCAGGGGCGGGGCTCTCATGGAGTACCTCTGCTAGGGCAGTGCAGAGGGGAAATGTGAGGTTGGAGCCCCCACACAGAGTCCTTACTGGGGCACCACCTAGTGGAACTCTGAGAAGAGGACCACCATCCTCCAAACCCGGAATGGTAGATGCACCTACAGCTTGCACCACGTGCCCAGAAAAGCCACAGACACTCAACACCAGCTCATAAAAGAAGCTGGGAGGGAGGTTGCACCAGGGGGGCCAAGCTGCCCAAGACCATGGGAAACCACGTCTTGCATCAGCGTGACCTGGATGTGAGACATGGAGTCACAGGAGATCATTTTGGAGCTCTGAGATATGACTGCCCTGCTGGATTTTGGGCTTGTGTGGGCCCTGTAGCCCCTTTGTTTTGGCCAATTTCTCCCATCTGGAACAGCTGTATTCACCCAGTACCTGTACCTTCATTGTATCTAGGAAGTAACTAGCTTGTTTTTGATTTTATAGGCTCATAAGCAGAAGGGACTTGCCTTGTCTCAGATGAAACTTTGGACTGTGGACTTTTGGGTTAATGGTGAAATGAGTTAAGACTTTGGGGGACTGTTGGGAAGGCATGATTGGTTTTGAAATGTGAGGACATGAGATTTGGAGGGGCCAGGGGCAGAATATGGTTCAGCTCTGTGTCCCCACCCAAATCTCATCTTGAATTGTATTTCCATAATTCCCACGTGTTGTGGGAGGGATCTGGTGGGAGATAATTTGAGTCATGGGGGCAGTTTCCCCCATACTGTTCTTGTGGTAATGAATAAGTCTCACAAGATCTGATGGTTTTATCATCTGCCTCATTTTCTCTTGCTGCTGCCATGTAAGAAGTGCCTTTCACCTCCTGCCGTGATTCTGAGGCCTCTCCAGCCGTGTGGAACTGTAAGTCCAATTAAAACTCTTTTTCTTCCCATGCTCGGGTATGTCTTTATCAGCAGTGAGAAAACAGACTAATACAAGGAAGCACACAGCACTGCAAAGCTTGGCAAATGCCATGAAAGCACGAGGCTCATGTGGGACTGTCACAGGCAGACTTCTCTTGGGGGTCATTTGAAACTTTTTCTGAACCCACAATTCCCATCGGTGAGAATATTCACAAACATATACATATATATACACATATATCCAATGTATATCTCATATATGAAATATATAACTTTAGTATCATTCCATTATAATTGCTATAAATATCACCTCCTCTTTTTCTGCCCCCACGAGTTCCTATTTCTCTGATTCTCCAAGCCTCATGCCAATCCCATTTGCCTCTGTTCTCTTATTTCCATGCTGCAGCAGATGTTTGGGGTCAGATCACTGTCTTTGGAAGGCAGTGTTTGGAGGAAAAGTATTCGCCAAAAGACCTGGCTCTACTGCTACAATGGGCAGCCAGGCACCTGCAGAGGGCTTGGTCAGGACAACAGCAGCTCACCTCCCTGGCATGGACTCCTAACAGGCCCCTCAGTGTCAGCCAGATGCAGCCCCAGCCATTTGCCTTTCCTGCCCCCGCTGCCCCCACACCTTCCCTTGTCCCCATCTACTACCCTGCCTGCTGAGAATGCTCACGCAAAATCCACCCCCACTGCAGGAAGCCTTCCCTAATCACTATCCTTCAAAACACACACACACACACACACACACACCCCATATACACACTGCAGACTAACACATACCAGACACACACCATACACACACTGTAAACACATACCACACACACAACCCACACTACAAACACATACCACACATACACACCATATGCACACTACAAACACATACCCCACACACATGGTATGTGGGGCCAGGGGCAGAATGATGTGGTTCGGCTCTGTGTCCCCACCCAAATCTCATCTTGAATTGTACTCCCATAATTCCCACGTGTTGTGGGAGGGACCTGGTGGGAGAATTTGAGTCATGGGGGCACTACAAACACATATCACACACACACCCCATATACACACTACAAACACATACCACACACACACACTCCATACACACACTACAAACTACGAACACATACCACACACACACACCCCACACTACAAACACATACCACACATACACCCCACACTACACACACCACACACACCCCCCACACTATGAACACATACCACACACACACCCCACACTACAAACACATACCACACACACACCCCACACTACAAACACATACCACACACACACCCCACACTACACACATCACACACACCCCCCACACTACAAACACATACCACACACACACCCCACACTACACACACCACACACACCGCCCACACTACAAACACATACCACACACACACCCCATACACACACTACAAACACACACCACACACGCACCCCATATGCACACTACAAACACATACCACACACACACCCCATACACACACTACAAACACACACCACACACACACCCCATATGCACACTACAAACACACACCACACACACACACCCCACACTACAAACACAGACCACACACATACCCCACACTACAAACACAGACCACACATACACACCCCACACTGCAAACACATACCACACACACACCCCACACTACAAACACACACCACACACACACCCCATACACACACTACGAACTATGAACACATACCACACACACCCCACACACTACAAACACACACCACACACACCCCATACACACACTACGAACACATACCACACACACACACCCCACACTGCAAACACATACCACACACACACCCCACACTACAAACACACACCACACACACACCCCATATGCACACTGCAAGCACATACCACACACACACACCCCACACTACACACACCACACACACACCCCACACTACAAATACATACCACACACACACACTATATGCACACTACAAACACACACCACACACACCCCGCACTACAAATACATACCACACACACACCTCATACACACACTACAAACACATACCACACACACCCCCCACACTACACACACCACACACACACCCCACACTACACACCACATACACACACCCCATACAAACACTACAAACACATACCACACACACACCTCATATGCAAACTATAAACACATACCACATACACACACCATATGCACACTACACATACGACACACACCATACACACAACACACACACTATACACGCATACACTGCACAACCACAACAGATAAATACACCCCACACATACCATATCCACACTACACACACACCATACTGCATACAAACATACCAAGTATACCATGTACACACTGCACACAAATACATACCATATACACATTATACACAAATCACATACATGCAGTATACACACCACACACCTAACACACAAAGCACATGCAATACATACAGTACAAACACCATGAAAACGTATACACGACACACACACTATACACAAATACACCCCACAGTCACATACCACACATATACATATACATACTACACACATTGTAAGCACCATACACACATTACATGCCACACACATGCTACCACATACACACACACACACACACACACATCCCTCCCACCATCCAGGCAACGATGGCTTCCCTTTTTCCCAAAATCTGACCACACTGACTGCGGCTCTCCATGGAAAGCACCCGGAATAGTACCTGGCAAACGTGGCCTTCTCTTTCCCCACCTGGGGCCTGAACACACCTGGTCTGTAGCCGGGGTTGCCCTACCTCTCCACAGAGCAAGAACCTGAGGGGCTTAGGTGGAGAGTGAGTTGACAACCACATTCAGATAACCAGGAAAATACCCAAGAGCGGGCAGGCCACACTCGGGGATGGTTTGAGGATGATATGCAGATGACGCCACTCACCCCTGCAATGCTGCTTCACTCTTCAGAACCAGCACGGCCCCAACTTATCAACAGTATTTCATCCAAGCAAATGAGAGGCAGATTCCTTAATAAAGAAACAAAACAAAAGAGACCCGTGCACTGGGAGTAGGATGCTGGTTCTGACCTGACTCTGCCATGAACTCCCTGAATGACCTTGGACAAATCACTTGAGCTGCCCGGACCTCAGTTTGCACCATATGTAAAAGAGGAATCGTTTTTCCCTGGGCCCTCTCCCAGGATGGCTGTGATTACCCACGGAACAAGCAACAACTAAAGGCTTGCAAAGTTAAAGTGCCAAACAGAAATCTTCCTGGGAGAGGCTGCAACTTCCTCAACCCCTGAGAGGTGACAAGGTAGATACCAGCAATCAGACTTACCTCCCAATCTAAGTCCAGGCATATGGTTCCCCCAATGCCATAAAGGGAAAGATAGGAAATTACTTTTTCCCTAAGGACACTGAACTAGGCAGATAGCCAACCTATTGTTATTCAATATCAGAATCAAAAATCCTGAGAGACCTCGATACCCCTCCTAACAGTGTCAAAACTGGAACAATCTTAACATGCACACACACACATACACACACACACAATGCTTTCACTTTCATCATCCCTGGGCATCCCACTCAGGGCATAAAGCATGCCTGGGAACAAGAATCACAGGTTTCCTACCTCACTGGAGACTTCACAATGACCCAGAGCCCCTAAGAGTTCCAAATACAGTCCAGGCTCCCAGAGCCAAGGCAGTGACTGGCCAGAGCCTCCCCATTTAGGGGTACTGACCTGAGTGCCATCTACCCGTCAAAGTGCTTGAGACCACAACAGCAACCCCTGAAGGTGAGGCTGATTAAAGAGGGTTACGTGAACTGCCGAATTAAGCCATCCAAAATTGGATAAAGCGATTGCGAAATCTGTTTTGAGTCAACCTATACATGTCTCATTGCAGGAAAATGTCTCGGTAAGAGTTCATGGAGAAAAAAAGTCTGGCAACTCATTGTTGGCTGACCTTCCTGGGCTCCTAATATTTAGTTCCCCAAAAGGCATCTTAGCCATGTAATTTCCAATATGGGAACAATTTGAGTTGCAATTAGGCAAATCTCTGAAGGTTCTGCCACTGATTTGTTCATTCTCTCAATATTATTCTATAGGACACACTAAAATACTGCACCAGGTTCACGCAGAGGACAATTAGGACTGCTGCATGTCAGGTTACAGAGGCTGGGTAAACACATCCACATCGCTGTTCAGGAATGGTGTCGTTAGGCCTGCAGAGCTGGGCACGGGGCCCTCTACCCCAAAGGACACCTACTAATGGCTCTGTGGGGGACAGAGGCTGTTAGCAACCCAGAGCTTTGGGCTGCGGCGATGGCAGGTCCAGAGCAAGTGGAGAGGGGGTCAGGGTAGCTAGCAGCTGGAATGCAACCCTGGAGATTGTAGATGAAGCAAAGCTAACGGACAACCCCTGGCAGTAACATTAGATTTTGTTAAAAGCCACATTTTCACTGAGCACCTCCTCTGCATCAGGCTCAAGTCAGGCCCCAGGGACACTGAGATGAAAAAGACATAGCTCTTGACCTCAAGAAGCCCAGTGGGAGGGCATATCAGCAAGCCCAATTATGATAAAAGATAAATTACAATCAAGATACTATTTTCAAAAGTGCCAAGAAAGCACAGAAAAGGAAGAGTTTGATTCTGCTTGCAGGGTGAGAATAAGTTTCCCACAGAAGGACATATTTGAGCAGGCCTCGATGCAAGGCTAAGAGTACGGCAGGTAGAGAGGAGAGAAATGGCCATTTTACAGGAGCATTTTCCATGCCTAGTTGGGATGAGTTGGCACTTTCTGAGCTGTAAGTGCCTCCCAAGGACTGAGTCATGTTCCTCTTCGGTCTTCAGTTTGTCTCAGACCTCCAGGGAGAAGAAACTGTCATTCCAGCCCCCTTTGAGGCATATTTGGCTTTCCCTGGACTCCTGTTATGATCTGCTCTTTGTCCCCAGGTGACTAGTTTACTTCCAGCGAAAAGGAATGTCTGGATTCTCCTCTAAGTCCTTTGCACAAACTGCAGAAGCTGTGTCATCCCATCCTGATGAAGCCCATGCCTCTGACCAGATTCTTCTAGAACTCAAGCATAGGTGAGGGCAAAGTCAGCCTTGACTGGGGACCTGCAGAGCAAGGCCTGAGTCAGGTTTATCTTTGTTTTTCCTTTGCCCCGACGCCTACTCACACCCAGCTCTCAGGATCAAGTGTATGGGTGAGTGAAGAAGCCCAAGTCAATAGCATGGCAGAGCCTGGATGGTTAAGGGAGCATTCAAGTCTCAACCTTGGGATCTGGTTAAGGGGCTAAATCACAAGCAGGAGAGATAGGGAAAATGGGCAATTAGTCTCAGGAACGAAAGGCAGAGGTGAGTTGTGTCAGGGCCATGTGTGGAGAGAGATTCAGGGACCATGTGGATCTGGAAGCCAGGAAGGAGAGTGGGTCACAACCGGGCAAACCCAGCTTCCCAGAGCAGGAGCCCCTTAGGAAGTGTGCAGGGCGACTGCGGAGGCAGAATCAGCAACTCAGCACGGCTCTGCGTGGTGGGCTCCTGCTAAGAACCACCTTCCCAGCCTCCCTGACTGCTATAGGCACCATGGGATCACACTGGGAGTCAATGTGCACTTTGTAAACAAAGTTCCCTTCCCCAACGCAGGAGTACCTCTTCCTCCACGAATTTCCTTTGGCATCTTCCTGCAGGTGACATGGACAGGCAGCTGCCACTTTCCGCCCATGAAGAAACCCTGAGGAGGAGGAAAACTACCCAGGAACACTGCATGACAACTGCAGCAGCCCCACCCTCCACCCCTGGGCCTCTTGCTTAACTGAGAAATATAAGCCCTATTTGTTTAAACCAACTATTCCACTTTTTTTTTTTCATGCAGCCAAATTCACTCCCTGATACACCTGACACTGGGCAGGTACTTGGTAAATGCGCATGGATGCTCCTGAGTCATCAGATAGCAGGGAAGATGCAGATGATATCTGTGGATGAAATGCGTTGCCTTGGCTTCCAGCTGCGTGATGCTGTTCGAACCTCAAATCAGCCTCACAGGCACCCCTTCTCCTCCTCTTTCTCCTTCACACACACACATCTCCTCTGAGCGCAAAGAGGCTACCATTCCTGCAAGAGAATCTGCCTTCCAATCGCAAGGTCACTCATCAGGGTACCGCCTAAACCCGGGATTATCTCTCAATGATGTTCTAGGAGGGACAAAGCAAGAGCTCTCACTCACCTATACGTCCCTGAGCCAGGCCCTTTGTGCCTCCCTGTCCCAGTCTCCTCATCTGGTAAATGGGGTTAAAATTATTCCATAAGTTTTAGATGGAAAAAAAATGCTCCTTTTGGAAGTAAGAGTTTATTTCTGTCATGGTTAGGATTTTCTCATTTGTTTCTGGCTGAATGAAAGGTCTGCTGCTTCTTAATGATACTCCCGGTGCTAGGCATGGTGGCTCATGCCTGTAATCCCAGCACTTTGGGAGGCCAAGGCAGGTGGATCACTTGAGCCCAGGAATTTGAGACCAGCCTGGGCAACATAGCAAGACCCCCCCTACAAAAATAAGAATAAAACAATTAGCTGATATGGGGGTACACACCTGTAGTCCTAGCTACTCTGGAGACTAAGGCAGGAGGATCACTTGAGCCCAGGAGTTTGAGGTCACAGTGAGCTATGATCCTGCCACTACACTCCAGCCTAGGTGACAGCGTAAGACCCTATCTCTAAAAATAAATTTAAAAGAAAATTAAGGATACTCCCAGATCATAAAATTATTCTGCCAAGATGCTTGTGGCTTCGCTTAGGGATACAGGTACCCCAAAGCAGACAGTCACTTGTCCGGTATCTCCTGAGTCACTACCAACACACAGCCCAACCCCATCCAGACGGTAACCAGACCTGTGCCTTCCTAACCCAAATACAGGATCTGAGGGTTAGCTGGGGGTGAGGATAGGAGCCTGAGCCTTCTTGCAGGTCTCACTGACCAGTGCCCCAGCCCTCCAAGGTCTCCCCTTGACAGGCCTCAAAATGAAAACGCCTAATCCTACACAGGGTACAAGACACATCACAAGCCACGCAGATGTCACTGGCCATTTTCAAAAGCCCATGTTGGACATGGCTGTACCCAGAAAGCCTAAGGACTCCAAGAAATACCACTGGGGACTGATCACATCTGATTCTCTCAGTGACCCACTGACCCTAAGTACAGTGTCCAGTGTCTATAATGGTGCCTAGAGTTGGGCTGTCCTTCCCCCAAGGAGGCCTGCTCAGTGGGTGGGTCAGTACACAAATAACTGGGCACAGAAAGAGCCTGAAAGTCAGGCCCACCCATGCTGGGGGAAAGGCCCAGAGCAGGGAGAAAGCACTTTTTCCAGGAAATCAGGAAGACCATCATGAAGATTTCCACAGCACGGATCATTCTGAAGGAGGCAACAGCATGAGCAAGGGTGGGAAGCAGGAAAACAAGCAGCATCAGCAAGAAATGGAGGGCTCAGTCCCAGAACCCCTAGTGCTGATGGTGAGCAAGGAGAGTGGGTGAGGAAGGCACACTGGGGGCCACGGAGGGCCAGAAGTTGGCCTATGTCAGGAGATGACATTGATGCAGGGGGACATGCCAAAGATGGTCCTTGACAAGATGGATCCGGTAGAGGATAGAAAGGGAGGGTGGAAGCAGGGGTCAGAGAGAGCTTTGGGGTCATCCTGCTGGGCTCTGAGCTAGGATGCTGACAGCAGAAACAGATGGGAGAGAGGTCTTATGGTGGGAGAACTGATCAGCCAGAGCCGCACTCTGAAAATGGGGAGTGGCACAAAGAAAATAGAGAATACCCAGCATTTGGTTTGGGTGCCTAAGCGCATAGTGGTTCAACGAAAACCCTCAGGAGCTAAAGAAAATATCAAGTTAGGGAGAAGATGGTGAGCCGTGCAGAGGGAGCAGCCCCTCCTGCAGCACCACACTTTCCCAAGGGTACAGACCACACTCTCCTCCATGTTGGAGCTATTTGAGACCACATCTGTCCCCCCTCCAGGTGTCACGCAGAGCTTCCCCCATCCCTCAACTCTGGTCCAATGCCTGTTACAGCCTTTGACAGGCAGTTGATTCAGGGATGTTTGGTCATTTATGGGTCGAGATCCATGAAGTCACTTTAATGGGCAACACAAATGTGTTCCCGCCTCTGGTGACTGGAGCCCAGCACTGTCTTGATGGGAAAAAAATGGGACCCTCCCTTGATAGCAGGGGCAACTTAGCTCCATGGAATCAACCTCTTCTTGCTTCAATGTCACTGCCGGGTGGAGGAGGGCCGGATCTGAGCATCTGTTTCTTTATAGGCATTGGCCATGGGGATTCCCTTTTGGCCAAGAACCAGAGTCCCATACCATGATGATTTCCAGCTTCTTTTCCATTGATTAACAAGCTGCAGAGGGTGTCACAATAAAAACCAATGCTACCACAGACCCATTCATTGTAGCTCCTCCTAAGCCCAATCAGCAGCAGGTAGGGTGACAAACCATTCCAATTTGCCTGGGAGTCCCCAGTTTCAGCACCAAAAGTCACCCATTGCAGGGAAATCCTCGGTCCCAAGCGAAAGTGAACAGTTGGTCACCTTAGCTGCAGAAGAGCTCTCTGATGTTCAGACAGGAGCAACCCTGAGGGGTTTCTTAGTTTGTGCTCCCAGCTGCTGTGGAAACACAAGCAGACAGCCAGCAGAGGCACTGCCCTGGGCTGCTGAGTCTCCCCACCACAGACTCAGGCCCTCTGTAGCCTCTTCGAGGGCTACAATGCCTTGTCCTTTGCCTCCACCCGCTATGAGATTAAGCCCTTCCTCAGAGGCGCACCAGAAGGCTGGGCACACAATATGTGCTCTGTAAGGAATGGTCAATTGTCTTAGGAAGTCTGTCCCTCCGCCCCTCCGATCTTTGCTTTTCTCCTCTCAGAGAAAGGCACTTGGTTCTACCGGAATGCCACAACCAAGAATTAATTCCCAGGACAAATCCAGGTTTCTGTTGCCGATTCACTGACACTCAGTCCATCCAAACCCAGTTCCTTTGGTAAACCATTTAATCATGAGGTTTGTATATGAGAGTTTCATAATGAGACATTTTACACTTTTTTTGTTTGTTTGTTTGTTTCCGAGATGGAGTCTCGTTCTGTCTCCCTGGCTAGTGTGCAGTGGCGTGATCTTGGCTCACTGCAACCTCTGCCTCCTGGGTTCAAGTGATTCTCCTGCCTCAGCCTCCCAAGTAACTGGGATTACAGGAACCCGCCACCAAGCCCAGCTAATTTTTTATATTTTTAGTAGAGATGGGGTCTCAGCGTGTTAGCTGGGATGGTCTCAATCTCCTGACCTCATGATCTGCCCACCTCAGCCTCCCAAAGTCCTGGGATTACAGGCGTGAGCCACTGCACCGTCTTTACATCTGTTTTCTAAGAAAAGAAGCCATGTGTTTCCAAGAGCAAACTGACTTGGTACCCTCGATAATGGAGTCCTGCTAAGGGGACTTCCAGGGAAAGGAGAGTCCTCTTCATTCTGTAAGGAGTGGAAAAGTGAGAGGCATGCAAAGGGCTGAATGCTGCACCACGGGGACACACAAACTCACCACAAAGCAGGTGCTTTGCGTTTTTAATAAATGTTTTTATTTTGAAATAATTTTAAACTTACAGAAAAAGTGCAAAGGTAGTACATGGAATTTGCCAATGTTCCCTGTTGTTAATATTCTTACATTTCCACAATATATTCATCAAAACTAAAAACTAGCATTGATTGGCTACAATAAGCTTTTTTTCCTTCAAATTTCACCAGTTTTTCCAATGTCCCTTTTCTGTTCCAGGATCCAACTCAGGGTTCACTTTGCAAAAAAAAACCTTGTGTCTTCTTAGGTTCCTCTGGTCTGTAACAGTTTCTCAGACTTTCCTTGCTGTTTATGTCCTTGACAGTTTTGGGACACCCCGGTCAGGTATTTTGTAGAGTACCCCTCAATTTGGGCTTGTCTGATGTTTATCTCATGATTAGACTGAGGCTATAGGTTTTGGAGGAAAAATACCACGGAAGTGAAGTGCCTTCCTCTCCATAGCCAGTGAGGCTACATGCTGTCAACATGACTTACCTCTCATGATTTGAACTTGGTCCCCTAGCCAAGGTAGTATCTGCCAGTTTCTCCACCATGGAACAGAGCAGGATTTTTCAAATATCTCCCTTTCCAAACCTTCCTGGGGGAAAGCAGCAACAATGGATTCTGTGTTCATCCAACTCCCTTGGCCGTGACTACTTGTCCTGGGGTGACAAGCATTTGTCAAAGTTCCCCCATGACCAGGCTAGAAATCTGATCAACCTCACACAGAACCTAAAGTGGTCCCACTCCACCAGGAATTACATAACAACAAAGTAGCCCTGGTCCAAGAGAAAACTGCAGTCCTTGGACTGATGTCCTGAAAGAAAGCCCATACCGTTGACCCTCTAACAACATGGGTTTGAACCGTGTGGTTCCACTTATATGTGGATTTTTCTTCAACCAAACACAGACTGAAAATAAGAGTATTCACAGGATGTGAAACCTGCATATACAAAGGGCCAACGTTTTTGTATATGGAGGTTCCATAAGACCAACGGAGGGACTTGAGTATATGTGGATTTGGGTATACTCCAGGGTCCTGGAATCAGTCCTTGAGTATACCAAGGGACAACTGTAGTTGCAAGAAAAAAATACGTATATTTACATTTGTATTAGTCCATTTTCACACTGCTATAAAGAACTTCCCTGAGACTAGGTAATTTATAAAGGAAAGAGGTTTAATTGACACACAGTTCCGCATGGCTGGGGAGGCCTCAGGAAACTTATGATCATGGCAAAAGGGGAAGCA